TCCGGTACTAACCTGTGAAGTTGGCACCTTGATGCAGGTACCTTGAAGATGGCGCTGGAGCTATGGCGCCACAGGTAAGTCTCCCTGGCTTCCACCAGCCATCTCTCTCTCTCGCCTCCTCTGCCTCTACTAGCGCCCAGCGCTGAAGACTACTGCTACTGGTACTAGCGCCCAGCGCTGAAGACTACTGCTAGCGCTAAGCTACTCCTGCAGCGCTCCTCCTGAGTGCTGCTGCCGAATCCTGAAGACTGCCTCCTGCCTTCTGTCCAACTACCTACCCGTGAAGTGCATGGGAACTCCCTATGTACTACTCGGCCTGCCTCCTGACTGTAGGGCGAGGCAGTCCGGGAGGCTGCTCTTGCCAACGCCAGGGCAAGCCAGGGGCTGGCGCTGCAGCTCCTGCTGAGGCTGGCGTGGGGAACAGGCCAAAAATAGCCTGTTCCCAGAACCCTGGTTTGTTGCCTGAGTTCTAGGGCAGGACGATCTTATGAGGGCCCGAAAGTGGCCCTCCGTTTCAGGCTGAAAAGACTCGGGGCCTGAACGGCCCTGTTATAGGCTGAAAACGAAATAGGGCCGGCAGGCCCTTGTTTTCAGTTTTCAGGCTGAAACGACATGGGGCCTGTAAGCCCTTATTTCTAGGCTTTTAGGCTGAGAATGCGGGACGGGCCCTGCAGGCCCGTGTGGCTACGCAGTATGCCACATGGGCTCTTCGCTCAGCTTCCAGATATAGCGGCCTACTTGCCTCCTGGGCGGTGACTTCCAGGCCGCTCGGCCTCCCAAGCAACCTCCTCCGTTTCGGAGGGAAACATCATTGCAGACTCTGATATTGTCGGACAGGCCCTAGACTCAGACTGGATGGACTGGTACCCGCCTAGACCTAGCCTACCGCTACTGGGCCTCTAAAAATGCCAACTTTGTCTTCTTCTGCTCGGCCTCGAGTACCCGACACATCTACTTCTATTGGGTGCGGTACCGGCCTACCTGCTACTTGAGTGTTTTTCCGCTGCTCTAAGTGCCGCAGGGCTCTCGCTCCGCCACTTGAGTGTTTTCCCTGCTGAAACCTCAATATCACGGCCACAAGTAAGTACCGGCCCTACGGGCCTCCCAAACAAGCAAGTACCCTTGCGGCTCACACACACACACTCACGCCGACAGGCACTCAGACAGGCATGCAGGTCATCAAGCACACACACACACAGACTTAGAAAACTCAGCAGAATGTGGGATTCTCAGCAACGCATCCATTCCATCGGTAGAACTCGGAAATCAGCAGTGTTCGCAGTCTGTGTTATGGTGGGTCATTACACTACCCCCCCCTCAAGAGCGAGGTCCCTTCGAGCGAGTAATTCACTCAGAGTCCCTGCATAACGCATCATAAGCGTAAATGGCAAAGAGAGATCGGGTATGTTCCATAGGAGTGAGGGTAGTGGTGAATTTAGGTTGCTGTTCAGAGGCAATCAGTTGTTCGTATGCGTTGACGACTTGCGGAGCACTCTGCAGCAAGTCTTTCTTAGCAATCCAGTAAAAAATCATTTAATGGGTGTATAGAAAATGGACTTAAAGCCGGTGGAGAAAAAATATACATCGGATGAATGAGTCTGTGAGTTCTCGCGCCAACACCTTCGGTTAGCGCTCAGGACCGCCTGCTCCGCGTCGCGCCGCGCCACCCCGATCAACGAGTTTCGAATTCGAAGCTTTCCCTTATGAGCGCCACTCACGCCGTCCCCCACACCCGTCATCGCGCGACTACGCCAACGCGCCCAACCCGGGCTCCACGAAGGTAACGGGACTCTCCCATCGCGTGGCCTCCCCCGAGGCCGCCATCGCGCAGCCATTCGCAAAGCAGCCCGTGGGCCAGCCATCGCGCAGCAAAGTGCGGAGAAGGGCATCGCGACTTGAAGTCTCGGCGAAAAAGGCAAGGGAGTGAGAGTGAGAAAGAAAGAGAAAG